GGACGCAGCCGACAAACTATTCCAAAATTCCATGAATTCCATTAAATTCTGCTGTTTTCGCCATCTACAAATTTGCATCTGGGATACTTTGCTTTATACTCGACCACATTTTTCCACGTAACTCCTAATATGTACATTTCTTTCATTGCCTATCTCATTTCCCCACCCCCAGAACCCCTAGAACCACCGTTACCGTAGGATAAAATTCTGGAACGAAGGGCATATGAGGTGCACTTCTTTAACTACCTTTGCCAAAATGTTTGCGCAGACTGGCCTGCATTACTGCTCAGCGTTTGCCGGCATGTCGATAATTGCGAATGTCACTAATTCATCAAAGGACTCAGCAGCGTGCAGTGTGCTTACTCATGAGCAATCATTGTCACCATAATTGGATTTTACACCGAGTGCTTCCCTCCTTTGACTATTTTTTTCAAAAATAATTTAACTATTCATCTGGTGATATTGCTATTTGCGTTTGAGTGGTTGCCCTGCCAAGGGTATATTTTATTCCACATATTTTATAACAAAAGAACGAGCGATTCTGCCTCAGGTATTTCTCGTAAAACATAGTGACACCGAGTACTCTATTTCCTGCGAACTATAGCCGGATGTACCTTTGCAAGATATTTAAAAGAAGCATTTAATTAAGTTTACACAAACGGATGGGAATTTCCTTTTTGTAAAATCCATTTGTTTTGCACTTCTTGGCGTGTTTTCAATTAAAAGACATTTTATTTAAGCCATCACATAAATATTTTTCAAAAAATTACTGTTCCATTAATTGCAAGGACGCAAAATACTGATAAGTGAAACTATTTTTTACAAGATAGTTATATTTTTGAGAAACCAAATTATAGGGGCTAAAGAAGAGCTTTATGCAACGTAGATTTTATTGCCGGCAAAGACAAGGGAGACAGGTATGGTCATTTCTGGCTTGTTAGCCGTCGTCAGCTAGTCATAGCCAGCCCTAAGTGGAACACTACACGATTCGCGAACTCGCGACGCTTATGAAAAATGTTCACCCTTTTCTTTGTTCACCTAATATGGGTCACTTATACCACAGAAATTTTGAGTTAAGTCTATGGTGAATTTCTGGAATGAAACACAGAATTTTGCCAAAGGAGACACCAATCTCTAGGTTACGGCTCACTCGACGGGACCCGGCCAACTTTTCAAGTTTGATGAGGCCGAAATCCTTGCAACAGGCGACAACTGCTTGAGCCATGAGCTACTCGAGTATTGGTTCTCAGAGCCCCAGTTAAGCAACAAGCGCAACGATTTGGCGTTCCCATATTGCGTACACCGACACTGCCTGAGCAAGAGAATCAGGCACGTGGGAGGCGCCGGACCCAGCAACAACAACTGTGACGATAAGCAGCATAATTGTCGCGCAATAACCAAGTCCGCATTCCACACGGTCAAGGAAATTGCGGCAATTAATAAGTACAACACGAAGTGTCAATCCATCACCGCACTAATTAAGACCCAAGCGGTAGCTACATAAGTGGATAATTACGATGCACACGCGGATGATCGCACTTAACTATTAATATCGTTAATACAAGCAAACATGCGAGTCCCAAGAATTAATTGAGAAGTAGAAGACAACTCGATCGCTGAGACACTATGTTTATTTGCC